TACAAATGGGAATTCACTTACAATGTGGGAAACTTGCTTGTAAACGTTGATAGGAGATCGCTACGTCTGTGAGTAATGTTCAGCAAATGGTTCAGGTAGTGAGGCACAGTAATCGCTGCCTCGTCCTCTGTCCTGTACAGCAGTGGGCTTATGCTCTACTTGGGGCTGGCATTCCTTTACAAATGAGCATGCCTTCATCGGCTTTGAGGAAGAGGGCAACCTCTGAATGTAACCTTTTGACCCAAAAGACAACGTTGCAGATAGACGTTTACCAGAGAACATGGCAACACTGTGTTGGTAGTTTACAGGAAAGTCCTATTTGCCATCTCAGAGGGTATTATATCACGTGACATGAGTAACTTAACAGGGACATTTTTTAATGCATCTGGAAGCCAGCGAGTGATATTTGTCACTTTTGAAAGACTTCATGTAATTTCGATGAGAATAATGATTTACCTGAAACTCCGATTAAGTAAACTACTCATGATGTAAGGGTGTCCCGTTGTAATATCAATCCTAATTTATTCAGTAATTATTTTAACGTGACAAGCTGGTTGCGTGGTTAAAGCACTCGTTTCTCGATCAGAAATTTCAATCCTGATCTTGAGTCGAGTCAATATACCCTTTGGGGCTGACAGTATAGGTACCATGACGTAAGACGTTAACAGTGCTTACACAAACAAAACAATACATGATACATGATGTTACCACATGCCGTCCTTCCCCGCACCACCGATTAGCACGGTTGGCTACATACGGTGCAAAAGAAGTTCAACATATTTACGTACATACATCGTCACCTTTAAATCTCGTTTTCAAATAAATGGTCTTGTAATTATCTAAGTTTGAATGGAGACGAAGGGTGTTTTACCTTAAAATGAAACGCTATAAGCTGATATTCTTTGGGTCTTTGGGTAGATAGAATAATAAATAATATTTTTTATTACTTTATTATTCTATCTACGTGACTTTACCGAAAGACCCAAAGAATATGAATTCCTGCAGTCACGAAAGCTTTAAGTCAAGATTTAGCTCTAAGCTGAATTTGATGTGCTGCCGCCTTGACTTTTTGTTGTTGTACATTTTTTTTATTTTTTGTTAGTCTCTTCGTTTGTGGGAATGATCGTCCAAGTGTAACAAGTTTTGTGACTCGACTGGACAGACTCACGCGGCGAGCTCGCCAGGAGGCGGCGCTGCCCCATGCAGTAGCGACATGCGGCCGTGATTGAACGCGCGAATATTTTACGAAGGCTCGCGTGTAATTCATCCAAGTTCATTTTCAATCACGTTCAGTTGTTTTAGGAACTATATAATATATATGTTTTGTCTTCCACAACTGTTACTTTTTAATGTAGCACTCGGAAACAACGCACAAGTTTAGCACTTTCCTCTAGCCACTGGAATACATTGTGCAGTTAAATATTAGAATATACAGCACGATAAATGTTGCATCCTTCTGTGGAAAATAAAACACTCAGAATCATCATCATCAGCGGCATCCTATGTTGCATATCACAATGGCATGAGCATGTTTTATTTAATTCCGTAAAGATAGGCATACATTTGTATTTTCATTTGACATACATTCAAATGTATGATGATTGTTAAAAGTATGTGAGTATAATTATGCAAAAATAAATCAAATTCCCATCCCATCACGTGTTCAATCCCTAAAGCTGTGACAAGGCTGCAAATAAAGCTGTGAGATGTGGTCAAAAACGCTCATTGGTCTTGGTGACCTCTTGACCTTTACACTACACTACAATTTCAAATATATATCGTATATATATACATACAATTCAAATATAGATGATGCATTTATTTTCTGTGGTAAGTTTCAATCAAGTGGATAACGCGATGGGACTTACAATCCTCGTGACCTGGGTTCAGTTTCTAGCCATGGATATCGTTCACACTTGGTATCTTAAGCTAGCCTTGGCCTCCCTAAAGTCGATGCAGCCTAAATACATTACTTGGCATTGGGGTGTGAATTATCAGCAACGAGGAAACAAAGACAGACAACCATGATATTAGCCACGCCACCTTTTTTGGGTGCTTTGCCAGCCTTAATCGCTTTTCACACAAAAACAAGAGCACTCGTCTCGAGCGTCCATAAGATCGTTGTGCTTTACATACGATACATGTCCAGGCCTGACAAAAGTATGCATAATGCCTTTATGAAAAAACAATCATCACAGTAATATAGCGGAGGGTACACGTTGTTTTAACTAGATCAAGAAAAAAGACCCACCTCACTTATCGTATATGATCTGGAGAGCACCACTCACCCCTACCGCATGCTGTAAATTTCAAGAAAGATTGCAGGCCGTCACCGCTGTCTAAACTTGGGAATATTTATGTGATGGCTGGCTTGAGTGGTGGCGTGCTGCCCTGGCACAGACTCAAGCCGGACAAAAGTACCCCCTGATTCTCATTGAACCGTGGAGATACCACTGTATTGCTGGAGCACAGGTATTGGCTTTTGTAGATTTACTCACTGAAAGTGCTTTACCTGCTGCTCAGATCATACCCGACGGGCATTCCACATTGGCCAGCACCGTCATTGTTACAACATATATTTCAAAAGCAAATGTTATTAGTTTGTAAAAGGTTATGAATGTCATATTACCGAGAGTACTCTCATATTCTTTGTTGTCCCTATCTCCTCTCCCATATACCCTCATGCGTAATATGCTGAGTCTCTTCTCTCCTGCTAACACTGACCTACGGGGAATGCTTTGTCGTCAATATTGCCAGTTGAAGCTTACTACACTCTGGTGGGGTAGTCGTTTGTGACAGAGATGCCTTTGCCTCTGGTATAAAATGCTGGCTGAGGCCACCTGCACAAATGCCTGGTCCTTGTGCATCATATCCAGTCAACATACACAACAACCAAGGTATGGAACGCGTCTGAAAGGATGCCGGCTCAAGGAGATGAAGTGATGTAATTGCCAGTGGATTATGATAGAGCAGGATCGTGAGAGGTGGGGATGACTTCATCCAGTAGTGGATTGACCATAGCTGATGATGATGACGATAAACAATAACCAAGTCAAGTTATGTTACTTATCCCCAACATATGCGTATAGTACTCTGTAGATATGATGTATATTATACATACATGTATAAACTATACTACATACGTGTGTGGGTGAGTTCGAATCTTGGTCAAGTATTGACTCAGCCCAGCTCCTTTCCATAGTCGATAAAAAACTGAGTTCCATTTTTGTGGTGAAGTAGTTGACCTATGGGAAGACTGGTCCCTTCCATAGAAAGTTCATTTCCACCACGAGTTAAGGACCAGCTAAATGAGAATTAGAGCACATCTTCTTTGGTTCTTTCGGTAAAGTCACGTAGAATGGTTTACTTTATAGTTGCCTCTGTTGATATTTAAACTTTGACTTTAACACAGCTATTTCTGTCACAAGCTAATCCCTCAGCTTTTTTCAATGCTAAATTCTCCTGCTTTGATATGTAAACTCCTTTGTCAAGGCTCTTTACCCCTCTCACCGAGCTTAATAGACGCTGCGAATCTTAGCGTTAATTGAAGCTCCGTCGTTCCGACAGTTCTGTTCTTTCACCTGAAGAAGGCCACTTGTGTTGTGGCCGAAACGTCGTGAGAATTTTATTGTCATATTTTATTTTATTATTTTATTCTCATTCTATGTGACTTTACCGAAAGAACCAAACAAGATGAATCCTTGCAGTCACGAAAGCTTTAAATCGAAACGAGAACACAGTTTGACTTTTTAAAATAACATTTGTAAAGAGTAAAGTGAAGCTTCATGGTAACAAGGACAAGACATTTGTTTTTGTTTAATTAGACTAGCCGATACAATTGGTCATGTAGTGTAGCGGTAATAATGCCCAAAAAATACCGAAAGGTTGATGGTTCTTAATATGAGTGATACACTCATATAATCTCCATGTGGAAAAACCCGCTGCTAGACATAAGCATTTTATCACACATCATCTCCCCAGTAGGCCTCTGTTTATTGTAGCCCAGAGCCGACATTGTAGGGCACCTTGTAACGGCTTGTGTTGTAGCTCTTAAATGCTTATTGGAGTCCTGAATCATTTATGAACGGGCTTAACGTTTCGTAATGTGCATTAAATATCCGCATTGAATGTTAAATCTCAGTCCCATTTTGTTATAAAAAATATATTAAAAATTATGCTTGACAAATGGCTTGTAGTCATTACTAATGGGCCCATCACACTCGTTTAATTGAAAATGTCTGATTATTTCGTTTGGAAAAAAATACAAACTTTCAAAGGTTTCAAGACGTAACAATGTAATTGTGGAAATATTGACTACGAATGCATGGGGTGATGCCGTTAACCAACATGCTATGGCTAAAAGCCCCAAGAAGCCTTTTGAGATGACGTGTATTGCCAAATAATGTATTAATAAAAACAATCGGACACATTGACTTCCAAAAGTCACGGAATCTCCAGGTTTCAGAAATATTTCTGTGGTCACTTATTGCTGCCTGCAGTCCTGAGCCAATGGTGAACAATTCCGCATTGCCACGTCTGGAGGACATCGACCGACTTCACACAAACACCGTCATCCTAAATTGATCAACCCTTGTGGGATGATGAGCTGAAGTTTGATACCAAACATAATTTGAAAATCAACCCACCCGTGATGACATATACATATATAAGTACACAATACATAGAATTTAGTTGTGCCAGAATTTCAAATTTGCACATTTGTCTGGTCACGATCACATAGCTGTTGTAGCTCACGCATGCGTTTTGACGTGAGCAAATTAAAAACGTTAAAACGTAACATTACCAACGCCGTTTTTTGAACGTGCACGAGACATTGAGCTCTCTCGCTCAACCGAGCTTGGCGATGTTATATCCGTATCAGCGCAATACCTACAATATAAAAAGGGGTGTGTGTGTGTGACATGCCTGTGTAGCTCCTAACGTGCACTTTGACGACGGTAAATAAAACAAAAATCCAACCACTCAAATGTAGAAAAAATTAGCACGGGAGGACGTTATTTTGCCCGTGTGATTGCGAGTGAGATCTCGCGCGTGAGTTGAGCGCGTGAGCCGCGTGCGTGAGTTGAGCGCGTGAGCCGCGTGCGTGAGTTGAGCGCGTGAGCCGCGTGCGTGCCGATGGCTCGCTGTGTTTACAGCGGGACAGGCGGGAGGAGGAGGAGGAGGGGGCGTGCAAGCTGAACGCGTCGTCGCCGTCGTGGTCTCGCGCTCGCGACGGCAGCAGCAGCTGGGAGTGATCCTGGCTGGGAACGGTGGAGCGTTTTGCGCAAACAGCTGCGGAGCGGAGGTATGCATCTTGCGCTGTGGGAAACGAAAGCGCGCTTGTGTGTGTGTGGTGGAGGGGGGGGGGGGTGCAGAAACTTGCTTGCCAGGCTGCCACTTTTTTTTTTACAAGTAACATTCACGCACTCGCGTGTTCACGCACGCTGACCCGTGCGCACGAACATTCGGACATTCGCAAACACGGGCGCGTTCGCTAGCGCGTGGAGATTGTGCGTCTACGAGCGAGAAGCCTGGTCGCCTGGATGGAGGAGGGGAGGGCCGTCAGCTCGTATGTCAGCAAGTTGTTGACAAACATGCAATGTCAATCCACCGATTGTGAAGGGACAATGTAATGTTCATGAATTTATTCTGACAGTATTTTTTCTCTCTCTCTCTCTCTCCAGCACATTGCTTCAGTGGATAAGAATATGCCAAATAATGTATGACTGAAACATCACGCTGCTAGTGGGAGCAATGGGATTTGTGGCAATCTTTGAAGTTGACTAAAGCTGTGCTTTACGAAAATGCTTTAAAGGTCCAGGGTCAACCAACCACTTTAATTGTTTTACAAATTTCGAGCACACATTCTCGCTCAAATGATTGGCCACGTCTGTTGGAGTACAAGTGTACACACATTCATACATATATAATTTGGTAGTTTCTTTGAAATGCACAAAAAAACTATTACTAAGATTACTACATAAGCTGCATTAAATGATTGTAAAAATACCACACCTGCTTGCATTTTGTCTCCAAAGTTCTCATGTGAATATGCTGTTTTGGGTACTCATTTGTGGCTAAGTCACCCTAGGGGAGACCTAGACCTTGTTCAGATACCAACACACTTACTTTCACGCCGTGCACTGCTTCATCTTCACAAAGACAAAGTACCCCTGTAGCCTTAACATGATGGTGGGCCAAGTGTTCAAAGCCGACAGCACACGAGACGGTGGGTGGCCTGCAAAACGTGCGTCCTCCATTGCCTGTCCAATGCTTATGTTTACACAATTCACTAGGTACTAATTTCAGGCTAAGTTAGCCTAGGACCCTTTCATGAATTCATCACCGATGTTGCCCGTGAGTTGGAATTTAACTCGGGTTGCTGGGTTAGTAGCGCAATACGCCAGCCACAACACAACCGTTCCCCTAACCACTGCACTACTTACCCTCCGTATAGACACCCACATTTGCGCTTTACTTTTGCACAACTGCCACTTGATCATGAAGGTCACATGCACTTCTATAACTGGACGTGCAAGCGCGCAGAGCAAACACTGGCAAAAATGGAAACACATAAACACACAGCTACAACCAAATGCTTGGCACACACCTCCACAGATGCCGAAACATAGAAATCCACACAATTCTCCACACATGGAAGTTTACAGAATGCACGTGTAGAATACTTAGATACATATGTGTATCCACTCTTTAAAAACAATAAATACATTTGCGTTAGATATAGGCTCACAGACGAGAGCACTGAGACAGCATAGCCGACGTCTCGGGTTCAAATCCATATAGCCAAGTGTGCTTAAAGCCGGTTCTCAAGTGTTACGACTTGATAGTCTCAATCCAGTCACCAATTACTGTACACACACATCCAATGAAACTTGGTACTTCCAGCGAATATGGCAACATTTCTGCTCTGTGAATAGAAAAAAAACAATTCTTGGTTTAGTTGTCATATTCCAAATATTTACACAATAGAGCGTGTGGAAACTGCAGCCGCACACCCACTTGCGTGGATAATCACGTGAAGAGATCTCAGAAGCAATTTTATTTTATTGTCTTCTGTGGACTGTACTGAGAGAGTTCCTGATGCCAACAGCACAAGTGGAGTACACTTGTGAAAAACATCAAGAAAATAATTTTCCCAGAATGTATATATTTTTTTTCAATTTGACTGCCATTCAGTTGACATTTCTCTGCAGCAAGGTATGTGTAAACGTGTGCTGCCTCGTATCTGCATGTGGGCTGTTTTTAACATTTGACGTTGTTGTACTGCTTTTGCAAGTGTTCTAAATGCATACTTTGCGTCATGACATGACACTCATAGCACACCTCCGATTACTATGGTTGGCTATGTACGGTGCGAAAGAAGTTCAACATACACATATACTTGCATGATCTCAATTTGGAGAAAAATAAAAGCAAATTGAAAACAAAACTATTAAGAGTATTGGGCCAAATGCATGACTGTTCCACCGCTCCCCATTTATTCTACAAAGACGAGGACTGTGTTGCCGCACGGATGAGAGAGTTGGATGCCCGATAAGCAGCTCGGAAATAAGTTGTTGGCATTTGAGCCCAGGCAGGTGTTGAGACAGATGCTAGGACTTTTTTGTGGCAAGGCAGCGTGATGAATGCACAAGTTCGGAAGATAACGTGGCATGTGAGCGTTTTTGGATATGAAGTGACAAAAAAAAACAACGGTTGTGCTGGGTGGGATGTGTGCAGGATGGGGCAGGGTCGATTGCAGAGACAGGCGACCAAGGGGAAGAGTAGACCTAGACAATACGTTGGGAGCCTCCAAGGGAAATCTGTAGGATCTGACAGAGGGCATAAAGTGTTGACGAGGTGTGGTGGTGTCAACGGCTTTGGCCATGATGAACATCTTCATCTCAGAAGACAAAAGATCTCCCATCTGGCCTTGAACAGACGGCTCGGACAAGTGCGAATAGGGAGCACCTATTAAGATGTCACAGCACACGAGGGGCGACATGGCGAGCATCATGCCCAGCCGCCTTTATCTCCCCAGCACTGATGCTTACACACAGCAACAGGTATTCGTTTTAAGGCTGAGTTGACCAAGGGGAGATCTAGGACACATTCAGATATGGATTGCTAATATGATCCATGGCAAGGAATCCAACTGAGGTACTGGGATCATAGAACAGTGTGTGCCTCCCGCTCCTGATTTATACGACTCATACACATATACGAAAATTATCTGACGTGTGTGGTAGTGTAGTGGTTAGCGCACAACACTATGAACCTGGCGACCCGAGTTCAATTCCTACTCACGGTCAACACCAGTGACGATTATCTGAACCGGTTCTGTTACTCCCCTAGGTCGACTCAGCCTCAAATGAGTACCTGGTGCGATGTGTAAACATGGCCACTGGGGAGACAAAGGCGGTTGGGCGTGGTGCTGGCCACCCACCCCCTCGTGTGCCTTTTCGGCCTTCATAGTTGATCGCGAACAGCACTTGCCCCAACAGTCTGTTAAGGTTATACGGGGGATATGTGTCTTTGTTTTATTCATGAGGGTTTTTGGCCTTGTGATTGGCTGTAAAATATGAAGGCACAATAGCTGATGAGTTATGATCACTCATTAAGCTGCTGAGATTACTGTACATTATATAAATCATTTGACTTCCTGGCTGTTAGAATAAGACTTGTTAACAATTATCCACTTTAATTTTCAATTAACTTTAATGACTTTATTCTTTCAAAATCAGTACATTTGTTTTTTTGTCGCATACATTTGTAGGTCAACCTTTCAAGCAAGGAATAATTGGTATCATTAAAGTATTTGTTATGAACTGTCCACAAATTAAGCTAGGGTACTGATGGAAACAGAGGAGTGGCTCCTACATATGTATCCCATTGTTTACTCATGGAAAGTATAACTATTATGCGTCCCATTAAATATGTTTACAAAATGTAATATAAGTAAACTGATAATTGTTTATTTGCATAATGTAATATTTTGTATGCACTTTGAACGGTTAATTTTAGTGCATCCGTGTGAATATTGGTGAAGGACGGTCACGTAATGCGAAAGTGGACTTGGAGTGAACGCGACACTTGCAGGGATCATAGCCAGTAGTCGAGACTAACGGTGGAGTAGCAGCCAAAGGAGGTAACGTGCCCAAGAGGATGTCCACCGCAGAGGTGGATTCACGTCACCTCCGATTAGCACGGTTGGTGCAAAATAAGTTCAACATACTTACAGGAGCGAGATAGGTTATTGAATCGTGAGACCATGAGATGGTAATGGCTTGGAGAGGCTTTCATTGACTAGCAGATAGATCATGGATGATGATGTAAATGTGGACATGCCAACGAAGATTTACTTGAATAATTTTAGAAAAAAATTGGCCACGTAAATCGAGTACAAGATTCAGACACTCGCGTCTAATTTGTAACCGGACATTTTACAGGTTTGCTTCCATAGTGCTGTGGCATTCATGCATAGTCTGAACAACTAGCCTGTTCCAAGAACACATTTGGAATAGGTTTGGAAATGGATTTGGTGCCAGTGTTAGCTCTATCACAGCCTCGCAGCTTATGCCTTGCAGCAGAAAGTTGAATAATGTTATCCCTTGTCATGACCACGTTTTTTCTCGAAAATGTTAAATCTAAACGGTTTCAAAAACCTTGTGGTGAATTACTTTACGAGTATAACCAATTTCTTATTTTCATATATATAATCAGATGATTATTTTCTTCTTCACACGACTGCTGGAGGAAGGGCCACCACTACAGACATCTCGAGAGAGCTCCACGAGAGAGTATTTGGCCTACTCTTTCATGCTGGCCCACTATTTTACGATACACGACCTGCAGATCGATTAACTGTGGTGAACCAATCTATACTGCCGTGCAGACAGAGGTGGGGTGATTCAAGAAACGCAGCCTATTTCGTTTCAACTTGCCGCGCCAGGAAATCGAACCGGCGACTTCTGGATTGCAAGTGCAGCTCGCTAACCATTACACCACGGCAGCAGCATCATTGTTTATATACGTGTATATAATATTTTGTTTCTTAATCAACTGCAGCATTGAAAAAAAGAATGTGCTTTTTCAGTTCTGTTGACAATACAGGTTGTGCTGATCATTTTCAACGCTTGTTTTAGAAGGGAGCAAATATGTGCACAATGTGTGTGTCCGTTTCAACATAAGTGGAATGGGTTTGTGGCATTCTTGCAAAGCCACTGGCCTTGCCAGGGACACTGCAGTTCTCTAAAGACGGGGAAGTATCACATTGCAAAACTGTAACATATGCCTTTACATACA